TCATTCAGGTTCTTCTACTGGTTGGTATTTAATCCACTTCTTTATCCTTCCTTTCAAAGCTCAGGGTTCCAGGATCATCTGTCTTGTCAGTTTCATTTGGTTTCCCATTGTTTTGTTGCAGAGGGACTGTGTAGCTTGTCTGCCTATTCCACCATCTTGCCGGAGCTCCAGTGCTTGATTTCTTTGCAGCTGCTTCCATGGACATTGATTGTGGATCCAAGTAAAATATAATCCTCCAATCTTTTCTCCATCTATTATGATGTTGCCTATTGGTCTAGTTGTGAGGATTTTTATTTTCTCTATGTTGAGGTGTAATCCATACTGAAGGCTTTGATCTCATCCATAAATGCTTTAAGTCTTCCCAAATAATGTCATGTCATCACCACATTGCAGGTTGTTAATCAGTCTTCCTCATATTCTGATGCTGTGTTCTTCTTCATATAGTCCAGCTTCTTGGATCATTTGCTCAACATACAGATTGAACAAGTATGGTGAATTGATGCAGCCCTGATGCATGCCTTTCCTGATTTTAAACTAAGCCGTATCCCCTTATTCTGTTCAAACAACTGCCTTTCATTCTGTACATAGGCTCCTCATGAACATAATTAAATGATCCAGAATTCCCATTTTTTGCAATGTTATCCATAATTTGTTATGATCCACACAAATGCCTTTATATGGTCAATAAAACACAGGTAAACATCTTTCTGGGATTACTTGCTTTCAGCCAAGATTCATTTATCATCAGCAGTGATATCTTTTGTTTCATGTCTTCTTCTGAATCCAGCTTGAATTCCTGGCAATTCCCTGTCTATGTACTGCTGCAACTACTCTTGAATTATTTTTAGCAAAATTTTACTTGCATGTTATATTAATGATATTGTTTGATAATTTTCACATCTCTTGGATCACCTTTCTTTGGAATAGGCACAAATATGGAACACGTCCAGTTGGTTGGCCAGGTAACTGTCTTTCAAATTTCTTGCCCTAAGTGGAAATGAGTGAGTGCTTCCAGCACTGTATTCTGCAGTGCACTGAATTACTTAGCACCTTTATAGACATACTCCTCCATTCTGTGATATATTGTAAATCCTAACTTCTATGTCTGTTTAGGATGGGATGTATCTTGAGTCTCACCTTACTGTCTAGTGTGACTCAGGTCATCACCCTTAGTTTCCTTGAGAGTATATATGTGAATGTTCTGGCAAAGTTTGCTTTCTCTTGTTCCAGATCCTACATTTGATTTCATCATCATCTCACCCCTGGACTTGAGACAGCAGCCAGACATCTGACCTGCCAATTTGGGTTCACCAGCCTCTGCAATCATGTGAGTGAGAACAATCCTTCATACCTCCTCCTGACCCAAGAATTGGGACTTGCCAGCTTGCTAGCCTCCACCACCACCTGAGCCATTTCCTTGGCAGTGTGTGAGTTCTGTGAGATGTTACAGCAAAATAAGGAACCCTAAGATGGGAGAAATAGTACTGAGGGGAAGAGGAGTTGATGTTAGAGATGATTGAGTAATACATCAGTTTGAAAACTTTGACATTTGAGACATCTTAAATCTTGCCTCATAGGGACCAGCCTTGTGCTGATCCTTTTAAAATAAATTATTCAAGCACATCTGTTTGTTGAAACATCTCAGTGAGAATTCCGTCAATTCCTGGAACCTTGTTTTTCTCCAGTTCCTTCAGTACACCTTGGACTTTTTCCTTCAATACCATTCATTCTTCATCATATGTGACCTCCTGAAATAGTTGAATGTTGATCAATTTTTTTAAAATACAGTGATTTTGTGTATTCCTTCCATTTTCTTTGGTTACTTCCTGCATTGTTCAACATTTAGCCTATACAATCCTTCAGTATTGCAACTTGAGGCTTGAATTTTTTCTTCAATTCCTTCAAATCAGTTTATACCCAGTCAAATATTTATTTTTGATTTTCATTTCATCTTCTGCACATGTTCCTTATAAAAATTAAACTTATAAGATATTGTTGTTATGTACATAAGCCAGACCAAAGTCACTGTCATCCAGTTGTTTCTGACTCATAGTGACCCCCATTGACTTTTTAAGGCTGTAAATCTTTATGGAAGTAGATCACCCTGCCTTCCTTCTGAGGAGTGGCTGGTGGGTTTGAACTGTTCTTATTAGCAGCCAAATGCCTTATCTGCTGCACCATGAGAGCTCCTTTGCTATGTGCATAGTTCACAAAAGCAATTTTCTACATCTTACTTTAGTGATTAGCTATCAGGGTCTTAAAAATGTGTGAGTGACAATCTAAGTTGTAAATATTGATCTCTCCCTGTCTGGAGCAAAGAAGAGTGAAGAAAATAAAATAAAAAGGAAATAATTAGACCAAACAATTAATGGCTCACATGAACCCCAGCCACCAGAATCCTGAGACCAGAAAAACTAGATGGTTCCCAGCTACCACTGCTGAATGTTCTGAAAGGGACCACAATATGAGATCATGAATAGAGTGAGGGAAAATGTGGAACAAAACTCAAAATCATAAAAAAGACCAGGCTTGCCAGTCTCATGAATATGGTGGAACCACCATGATGATGGCCCTTATGTACATTTCAATCTAGGAACTGAACTGAACCTCTGTGATTCAATTGGCAGCCAAATGATATACAGACCTATAAGGTGAGTACCAAAAGCATTTTGACTGCTAACCAGAAGGCTGGCAGTTCAAACCCACCCAGCCACTCCTTAGAAGGAAGATTGGGCAATCAACTTTCATAGAAATGCCACCTCAGAAACCCAAGGAGGGGTCACTATGAGTCAGATTTGACTCAATGGCAGTGAGGTCTTGTGTGTGTGTGTGTGTGTGTGTGTGAAGGTGAACAATACTATCAGGAGGGATGCACTCATTAGAACAATCAAGCATATGAGATCAAGAAGACAGTATTTGCCCAGGGATAGAACTAGGAAAGCAGGAGGAGGTGGGAAGGAAGGATGAAGGGAAGGGGTGGGCACAGGGAGGAAGTGGGAAGAATGCTGTGGGAAGAATGTGTGGAGATTACAGTGAAAGTTACAAAACAATGTAAATGGCTTGTTGAATGGAAAACTAATCTTGACTGTAGTTTCACACAAATCACAACTGAAAAAAAAGAGAGAAAGAGAGAGCATTCACCAAGGTTACCAGGTCAATGATCACTTGAAAAAGAAAAAAAAAAAAAACAATAGCACTCCTTCTCAATAGTTTGGTAAATTATTAAGAATGGTCCCTAATGAATAATCCATTACTGGGTCTACATCCCTTTGCAATGTGACTTTGCCACTCCTGCCACCACCCAGACCTCAAACACATGACCCAGCCATCTTGAATGCTCCAAATTAGTACAGTCATTGCCATTGACACCCAGGAAGCAGTTCCCACTGAGTGCTACCTAATACCATGACTCTTAGCACTGCAAGCAATGAAATAGTTGTATTTATTTTTTAAAAAAAGAAATTATAAAGTCATTTAGGTCCTCTTCTTTTTGTTCTCAACATAATCAATAAATATAATTCCCAATTTATTATAGCTTTAATTAGAAATTATTTGTTAGCAATCATTGAAAAAAATTATTTCCATAACTTCATGGTCTAATATTCAAGCTATGTGGCACAGTGGTTAAGGCATTTGGTTGCTAATCTAAAGCTTGGCAGTTGAAACCCACCAGCCACTCCTTGGAAGGAAGATTGGGCAATCTACTTCCATAGTGATACCTCCTTGGAATCCCAAGGAGGGATTGCTATGAGTCAGATCCAACTCAGTGGCAGTGTGTTTGTTTCTTTTTTTAGTACTTGCAAAAGTGACCCTATTTGGGAATAGGATCTTTGTAGATGTAATTAGTTAAACTAATGTGCGATCAGACTGGATAGAGTGGGCCCTGATTCACTATGACTGAGTCTTACAAAAAGACCAGCCAGAGGGGCTCTGGTGGCATAGTGCCTAAGGCATCGGACTGCTAACCAGAAGGCTGGCAGTTCAACCCACTAGCCACTCCTCAGAAGAAAGACTGGACAATCTACTTCCTTAGTGATACTGCCTTGGAAACCCAAACAGGGGTCGCTACCAATCGGATCCGACTTGTCGGCAGTGAATTTGGTTTGGTTTTGGAGCCAGAGGGAATATGGTCATGTGGAAGACAGGGACAGAAATTTAAGTTATGCTGCTACAAGCCAAGGGAAACTTGGGCTTCCAGAAGCTGGAAGAGGCAAGCAAGGATCTTCATCTAGAGCCTTTAGCGAGAACATGATCTTGACAAAACTCTTAGTTTAGACTTCTAGCCTCCAGTTATTGTTATGAGCCATTGAATCAGGCCCTTAAGCCACCTGGTTTGTAGTATAGGAAGTTCCCAAGTTACGATGGGATTCCATTTGATGACTCCATTGTAAGTTTTGATCTAAGTCATATACCTTTCTTTTAGTTTTCATTATTATTGCCATAGCCTGATATATGGCAGTGTTTTGGACAGTAAATCATAACTTTGAACATCTGAGAATAACATCAGCAAATCACATGCTACAACATTGTACACAGTACATTTTACTAATGATAAGATGTGCACAAAACCCCCAGAAGGTTGTAAGCAGTGTTCATCATAACTCAAATATATCTTAAGTCAGGGACTACTTGATAATTTGTTATGGCAACCCTAGGAAACTAATATAACTGCCTATAATTTATCTCTGCTCCTAAATGGCTATTCATTTACTTTCTAATGAAGTATTTATTGTCTTGTCAATTCTTTCATAATCACTTTAATATCTTTTACCTTCTTTCCTTCTGCCTTACAAATTCATCTCTCTCATTCTATTCAAATTCTCCTATGACATAACGCTTTCTCTTTCACACACAAATACCTAAAGTCTAAGTTTGACTTTGAAGATTTCTGGTATTAAGTATGCTATTTATACTAATGTCAATAAACCAAATCTAGTAGACTTTCATTTATTTTTAAATGATTTATCCATCAAAATAAGCTTGCAAACTGGAATGAAAACAATACTCTGAAACATGATTGATTTTAATGTTTATAGGAAAAGAATAAATTCACCAGCAGAAAAAATTACCAAAAGGAATGTTTTACAGATTTTTAGTCTCAAAGCACAATACATTTTTCATAGAAACAAATATCACCATTATATGCACCATAGTATGATAACGTTAATACACAAAGCCATTTACCATTAAGAAAATGAGTGGCAATGGTGATAAAAATACATTACTTCATCTTCGTTAAACTTTCTGCTATTATACTTCCTGGCCTGCAGGAGTATTTGCCAGGATACAAAAGAAAATGTGTGACCTCAATTTTAATCCACAGAAAACTTTGGCTGCCCATGCTTTTTCTTATAGTTCCTACATGAGCACTAGGAATATTTTTAACATCATTACTCTGACTTTATTCCACTTACCATTAAGGTCCTTTCCAGGGAATCAGGCATTTGACCTGATTTATTTGGATAATAATGGATTATTTTATATAAAAAAGAAATGTACTAGCAGGACTGAAGAGTCTATATGCCTAAATTTAACAGAAGAGGAAAAACTGTACAAGAATTAACTTGAAAATAAATGGAGATTATTTAGAACAGATAATGCATTGGACTGGAAAAATGTGATAATAATGTTTCTTTCCTCTTTTGGAGTTATTTTTTAATGCACCAGATGATAGTGTGAAGGCCATTCACATTCAACATTTAGACTCTTTTATTAGTGGCATATACAAAGCACCATATTATAAAACATACAAAATGTAGAACAATCATGACTATTTAACTGTCGAAATAAGTGCTAAGAAAATATAGCAATTTTTAACACAGGATTTCTAAAACCATTACAGATTCTTTACTTTTTCCAAAGCTTTTGTCCCATGTTTTATGTTACAGACTGTCTATAAAGATTTATATGCATTCAGTACTTTTTTTGGGCTAAAACAGTTGATATCTTCTGTACATAATGTTACAGTTTTTATACAAACTTCAAAATACGGCATTTGGAATTCTCTTTACTATCCTCTTCCAAGTGTTTTACTTCACATAACAGCAAACACTCTGAATGCTTTTCCTCCTGGAGGGTTCTGTAAACTGCAAAAAAAAACATGAAAATCATATTGATGTTGTCTCTACTTATAATTCTTCAAATGAATCATATCTTCTTAGGAACATCAAGAAAGCAGCCCTGTGAATCCAGATGGTTGACTTCCTTAAGAAACTACAATTTACAATTATTGGAAACCTTGAGTGAGGATGGCATAATTTTCTAAATCTTGAGTGTATGCTGTTCTATAAATTTATTGAAGAAATTTATGATGGATAGTAGTCAAAAGTCAGAAAAATAGTCTAAATAGAACTTCACAGATTCCAGATCATAGTTTTATACTTCCTTTGATCTTAATAAAGAAGAGTTGTTGTTGTTATGTGCCGTTGAGTCGGCCCCGACTCATAGCGACCCCTCCTTGGGTTTCCGAGGCAGTATCACTAAGGAAGTAGGATTGCCCAACCTTCCTTCCGAGGAGTGGCTGCTGGGTTTGAACCGCCAGCCTTCTGGTTAGCAGTCAAGTGCTTTAGCCACTATGCTACCAGAGCTCCTAAAGAAGAGTTAGGCAGTTGTTATTCTCTTTCATTGAGGGAATACTGAGACAGGTTCACAAGTGATTCACCAGGTTTCACTGTTAACTGCAATTTTAAAAGACAGCTTCAAGAAATACTTTGGAGTATTAGTCTATTATCATTTTTCAAGTATAACAAAATTGAAATTATAATGGCATCATACATATTAAAATTTTAACAATATGGCTTTTAGAAAAATCTCAGAGAAAAAAGTTAAGGATCCAGTCAGAATGGTCTTAAGAATTCCTTTGTTAAAATGGAAAATTCACACACATATATACACATGCACACACACCTGTCATTCTAATTTTGGAGGTGATTTTAAACAGAAGTTAAAAGCAATGCAGAATCATAAATTTTTTCTCTTTTATTACGTTGTTTATGTTTCATTAGGGAACATCACTCAAGGTATGTTTTGTGTAAATGCCTCAAAGTTAAAATACATTGATAATTCTGCAATAATATTTATTAGTTATTTTAATCAAATATAAATCTTTGAAGTGCTTTATATTTTTGCATAAAGTTTCATTTTCTTAATAATACAGAAGACTTTTAGAGATAAAGGGAGGTATATAAAAATTTAGATCTAGAAGAGGGAGAGAAAATGCAATTCCTTTTAAATACTTATTCATGTACAGGAAAAGAAGGGACAATTTTAGTGTGGAAAAAGGGTGAGTATATCCTGAATCAAAGGAGCTCTGGTGGCACAATGGTTAAGCACATGGCTGCTAAAAAAAAGGTCAGAGGTTTGAACCCACCAGTGGCTCCAGGGGAGAAAAGACTTGGCAATCTGCTCCTATAAAGATTAAAGCCTAAGAAACCCTTTGGGACAGTTCTACTCTGTCCTATAGAGTCACCATGAGTCAGAATCAACTTGACAACACATCACAACAGCAATAACAACACATCACAAATGTTCACACACAACACACATAACACATACAACACACACATATAACAGGTTTTTCACACCAGCAGATGGCCAGCCTAATATCATTTTTATTTCCAAGAAAGAAATTGACTAAGTGCCTTAGCAAATCAATGTATCTGGTGTGTTTCTTCCTTGTTCAGAGTGATACACTAGAAAAATGTGTATCTTTGGGCACATCATTTAACCCTGTGAGACTCAGTTTACACATCTACTAATTAGAGTTTATATTACTAACTGTTGGTGGCTGTTGGTGGAGCTGAGTTCATATATGTAAAGTGCCCAGCAGCACCTACAGGGACCATTTATAGTAGATGCTCAAAATTCAAGTTAAAATTATACTCATTTTCTTAGAACATACATCTGTCATCTTGTAAGAAGCTCTGGTGATGTAGTGCCTAAGGCATTTGACTGCTAATCAGAAGCTAGTACTTCATACCCACCAGCCACTCTGTGGAAGAAAGATGGAGCAATCTACTTCGGTAAAGAATTCATTTTATATATTTGCTTAAAGAGATCATGAGAAAGGTTGCAGAGAAGCCATCTTCTCAATAATGGCCTTTTGATATATTATCATCTGAAAACAGATGCTTTTTTATGAAGATAGCACCCAGGAGGTTATTTAGAAGGGAATCCAGATAACTCGCATGGTGTATTCTCTGGTGGCCTTGCTCCATGGGCAGTTCTGAAGACCCCAGTGAATTCTAAAATTGTGGGATTTTTCTGTACCTATACAAAATACACAGGACTTATTACTTCCACAAGAAACAATGATTTGAAAAAAACACAGTAAGAGTTCTTTTTTTCTCCTAATGTGTATTAAATACTTAACAAAGTGAGTCACACGAATTCCCATAACAACTAGATACATAGTACTAATAATGTGTTATTTAGCATAAGATGACTTGAAAGAAAGAGTTCATTTATTTTATACTAAACATCCAACTTCCAATTAAAAAGAGAGTTTGGCTGTAGGGAAAATCAGACTCATTGTTTCTGTCAAATACTTTTTCGGATAGCTGGATTAGAGAAATATTCAGTGCCATGTTCACCTAGAAAAATTAAATATATGGACTAATCTAGAAAATCCAAAAGAAGGTGACAGAAATTTCCTTATTATAAGATCAATTAACAAAGGAGTGGTTCTGACTCGTAATCCTATTTTCGTGTTGATTTTTATAAGCCTGTAGGAGACAGGCACCTCTGGTACTACAGCTTCTCTCATCCCTAGAAGACCAATTCTTACACAAGTGCATAAAGATTCTGGCTAAGCCATTTTCTTCAAACCCATGCTAAAGTCAGTCTGCTTTAAAGCAATACTAAATAAAGTAATAGAAGATACATAAGAATATTGATCATATATATATATATTTTAATTTGAATTTTTTTATACCTTTCTGAGAAGATTCCATTCTGATAAGACGCCGTGTAAGTCTTTCTTTTGTCCACAGGCATGACATCAACATAACCACCGTGATTTCGAACCACACCAGCATGTACTGCTGCTCTACATATACTGGACAGCTGAGGGGGAAAGAAAACCATGACATTGTTAGGAAAAATGTGCTGATCTTGTCCATTCTTCCACTGGACTAACGCTGACATCTGTCTCTCTGTGGATAGCCAGCGAGCAGCTACAGGGTTCTATTTTGTGCGTAAGACAATGTTTTAAATCACAAAATCTGAATAAGTTTGAAGGTAGATCCTAAAATCACTCCACATCTAATCTAGCAAAAACTTTTCCTGCTCAAACAACAACAGGCTTTTTGTATTATGGAAACAATGAAAAACAAGTTAGCTTTTTTTTTTTTTTTCATCTCTGCAAAGCCCATTTAAATCCTTAAATTTCAGGCTTTTTGTCCATACCAGAGTCACTGATCAAACGGCCACAAGTTGGATCATTTGTTCCTCATTTATGTTCAGTTTTGACTTATAGACAACTCAAACATAGCTCTGTATATCTCTATAAACCCTTTTCTCAAATAAATGTATGTATTAAATGAAGTGTTTCTCTGTTTTAAATAATATATTATGTACAGAAAGATTCTGCCTGAAAAAATAACTCCAATTTTTTTAAAAAGTAAAGTAATTATAACTTCAACCTAGATTTTCAACACCTATCACTCTAGTTTAAATGGACTGACATGGACCACTGAGAAAGTTCTATGATTATATTGTACTAATTATATCATTTCTAAGAGCCCAGGTGGTGCACTGGTTAAGTGCTTGGCTGTTAACTGAAAGGCTGGCAGTTCAAACCTACCAGCTGCTCCATGGAGGAAAGATGTGGAAGTTGGCTTCCATAAAGATTACAGCCTTAAAAACCCCGTAGGGCAGTTCTACTCTGTCCTACAGGGTCGCTATGAGTTGAAATCAATTCAAATGACAATAAGTATGTCATCTGAATCAAAAGGGATTTCTATGGAGAAGAAAATTATTGTCAAATTATTTATTTTGGTTTATTAGGTTTTTCCTCTAGCTTTTAACATTTGATTTTACCCAAATGTTCTACTAAAATTTAACATTATCTGAGAATAGCCTGCAAAAATTCCTACAAAATGAAACATTTGAACTGTTTCAGTATAAAGCACCACTCCCATATCCCCTACAGGTCTTTTCTCATCACATTGGTGTGTTCTTTCCTCATCTCTATATGCATGTGGGTGTGTGGGTGAGTTAACATGCTTTTTCTAAATTCGCATTAAGCATAGGCCTCTTACATGGCCCTTACTTATCATGGGGTATTCTGTGGTATATGACTCAGATTCCAGATCCTGAAGGTCAAGCTATTTAATCTGAGACTTCAGACTGGTTCATTCCTATTGACACCCTGCTGAGTGATAATTTGCATTTCTACCCCAGATAATTTTAAAATGTAGATTCGGATTCAGTATATCTGGGGTGGAAATGCAAATTCTCAGCAGGGCGTCAAATTGGAATCAACTGGTTTAAAGCCCAGGTTTAATCGTTTTCATGCTTTCACCATATCACAAAATGCCATATATCTAATACCTTGCATGTTTACTCCAAGGAGGCATTTATTCACCACTTAAAATCCTTCACTGAATTAATTAATATTTGTATCTAATATGGTTCATTATCTCTGGGATTAAAAACCACCTGTACACATTTCAGTCTTTTTCCTGTTTTGCTAAATGTGTATCAACAGCATTTTGTCAAGGCAATACAAGTGCTTAGATATGCTATTCACTAGATTCAAGTAATTAATGTGTTTTGAAACTATCGTTTTGGGTAAAACTAAATTATGCAGTCACCAGGCAGTTCTACTTGAGTTGAAAGGTCAGCAGACTTTATAAGAAATCCACACTCTATAAGAAATAGTATATAATTAAAAAGAAAAAAGAGCTTTATGCAAATAGTGAGACATTTTTCATTAATGCAGAAATGAATTCTATCTTTAATAAAATAGAAATAAAAGTTCAAAGTACTTTAAAGTAACAGAAAGTTCAAGTGTAACTTTATAAATGTTAATGGGGGAAAAAAACAGTTGAGGTGATATTATGATGAACGAAATGAGTGGGGTTGGGGAAGAGAAGAAGGAAAAGGGGAGGGAAACAAGGAAAAGGGGAGAAAGATTGATTGCTTCTCACCTTCCATATCAACTTTAATAAAGAGAGTGTATACTATAGAAGGCGGGAAAATTGGCAACTAATGGCTGGATGCCTGAGTCCTATTTACCAAGTGTTAGTAGTCTTTATACTTCCAAATTACTTCTCAAAGTAACTATAGTAATAATACATATTCCCTACCCATTTCACTAAGGTATGAAGATAAAATGACCTCAGGAAATAAATCATAACAAAACTTTAACTCCATCAGAGCTTAAAGGTAGATATGGAAGTATGTAGGATATTTTGAAAGATTTCTACCATACATGATTAAAATGAAAAGTTGTGGTGCTTAAAGGGACAATTTTTGGGGAAAAAAAAAGGTTTCTCTGGAAATTTTGGATAGTGCCAGATATGGTCATTCATATATGCTTCCCAATTTTATTTTTACCCATGAATATCAATGTGCAAGGCACTTACTTAATGCCTGATGTCACTGTGTGAACTAAGCTCTGTTTTAAGCCAGGAAGCAAGCCTGTCTTGTTTGCAGCTTGGCATACATGACATTGCAAATGAAAGAATGATCAATGATTACTCAGCTGCTGCCCTCAAGGAATGCATAAACTATAAAAGAGGTAGGAAAACAATTCTAATACCCAGCAGAATCTGTTAAGCCTTAAAAGAAAAAAGTCATAGAGCTTCAAAGAAGGGTGACATCATACTTGGACCGGGAGATCCAGGAATATACCTCACAAAGAAAGTGGTATAACAAATGACAATGATTTTGACAGATAAAAATGATTAAAAAAAAAAAAAAAAAGATTGGATGTAGTTCAACCAGAGGCAAGAACATAAACACCAAGTTTAAGGCTAGCAAACTCAAGATACAACCAGGACTTTTAAGCTGTAGATAGGAATAACACAAACCTGGAGCTTGGGAGAGATTGAATTTGTAGAATAACTTCAAAGTTAAAGATAAATTGGAAAAAAATGGACTTAAATGAACTAGTCAAGAAAAATAAAGTCATAATAGACACATTTCACCTCTCTCTTTGTAATCATATTTCCATAGCAGTCTACTAAATATATGAGCGAGAATATATTTCCTAAGTTTTTTTTTTTTTTAAATCTGTAATGGTTTCTAAAGGCCTGCCACATGAAATCTAAATTCATCAGCACGTACTGTCAGATTCCATATCTACGTGTTTTGTTGTTGTTGTTAGGTGGCATTCAGTCAATTCTGACTCACAAACAAAAAAAAAAAAAAAAAAACCAATGCCATCAGGTCAATTCCAACTCACAGCGACTCTCATTGGGTATCTGAGGCTGTAAATCTTCACAGAAGTAGATTGCTCAATCTTGCTTCTGTGGAGTGGCTGGTGTGTTTGAACCACCAACCTTCTAGTTAGCAGTCAGATGCCTTAGGCACTGTGCTACTAGAGCTCCTTTGAAAGTTAGCAGAGGATTCTGACTCACAGAGACCTCATATGACTGAGCAGACCGGCCCCACAGGGTTCCCTTGGCCTAATCTTTATGGAAACAGATCTCCAGGTCTTTCTCCTGCTGAGCTGCTGGGTAGGTTCAAACCATCAATTTTTTGGTCAGTGGCCCAGTGTCTCATTGCACCACCAGGCTACTTTCTATCCACATGTTTTAAGAGTTGGCTGCAGCAACGTTTTAAGAGTTCATCTCCAAATCTTACCACCTCAGAAACAAGGAAACCCATTTGCTACACCCTACAATTGTTTTTTTTGGGGGGGACATGACAATCACTTGCTCTAACCTGCATGTCATCGTACCACCTAGAATCCCACCTAGAATGTGTTCTCTAATCCTCTTCATCAAACTATTCTTTAAGCATGGCTCAAAAAGAGCTTATCCATACTGAAGCCATCACAGCTAATATTCCTTCCCCAACCGCAGTAATTTCATTTAGGTATCTGACTGCTAACCAGAAAGCTGGTGGTTCAAACCCACCAGCCACCCCTCAGAAGGAAGATTGAGCAATCTACTTCCATAGAGATGCCATCTTGGAAACCCAAGGAGGGGTCACTATGAGTCAAGTCGACTTGATGACAGTGAATTTGGATTTTTCTGGTTTCATCTGGCTTTCTTTTGTATGTATTTCATGTATTATCTGTTTTTTGAGTCTGTGCTATTTTTTAAATTCTCCTTGGATAAGGAAGGAGCTCTGGGGGCATAGTGCCTAAGGCATTTGACTGCTAACCAAAAGGCTGGAGGTTCAAACCCACCACCCACTCCTTGGAAAGAAGAATGGGCAATCTACTTCCATAGAGATGCCACCTCAGAAACCCAAGGAGGGCTCACTATGAGTTGATAGCAATGAGTTTGTTTTTTTGTTTTTTGGACAAGGAAGATATTGTTCATATGCTTGATAAATTCTTAATTATTCAGTTTATATTTCAAATACTGAAGAACCAAAACAAAGATTGAAATATGTGTTCTTTCCCAGGTATGCCTCCAAACTACTTCATTAAGTGCTTGATAAAGGAGATATAGGTAGGATAGGAAGAAAAATTGAGTCAAAATAAATTATTATGCTCTCATATTTGTATATGGATAATCTTTTTTTTTGGTATTAGTGATTAATGAGCCTGTGTTTATGTACACAGAATCTAGTTCTTTGATCTGCATTTAAATGTACATTTATATACATTTAAATGTACATGCTTATATATATTGGGAGCTGCATAAATAAGGATACTTACATCAGAATAAATTCGAGATCCAATTACACGAGCATAATGTGGGTTGGCTTGCATACAGTTACGAGGACAGTATACTCTGAAAATAGATACATAAAGCAGACTGGTTAGTTTACTCTTTCTTATTAGAGAAACCAGACATGCATATATAAAAGTAAACCCAATATTTCAAAACCTACTCTTTCCCCCCCCCCTTCCCTGAAAAAAGCCAGTTGTACAAGTCAGGCAGTAGACACAATTGCTTCTGTTTATTTGCTCTACTTGCAGATTTTGGCAAAAATATGATTCTTACTTATTTTGTAAAATTTCCCCAGGAAACCTTCTAATTTGGGCAATCAAAGCAGAAAGAAGCATCAGGAAGTAACTGCAAGTATCTGGGAATTTAGTATCCAAACAATCTGTAGGGTTTTACAAGCAGGTAACTTGTAAAATTTAAATCATTATCTGTTTGACAGATCTCATAGCTTCTCTTTACTAAATTCACATTTTTAGGGCTCTCATCCAGTTTCATGGTTATAATTACCATCTATAAAGTGTTGATTCCCAAATTTACATCTCTAGTTGGCGTCTCTTAATTCCAAACTTGCAACTTGTCTATCCAATTGCTTATTCACCATCTCCACTTAAATGTAATAGGTATTTCAAGCTTAATATGTATAAAACCAAAGTCCTAATCTACTCCCACAACCCCAAAATCTGCTCTTTCTTCCCACTTCAATAAACGGCAACATCATTATTCCAGGTGCTCAGATCAAAAATCTTTATTCTTTCCTTGATCTCTCTGTATCTCACACCTTACATTCAATACATCAGCAATTTCTATAGCCTATAGCAAGGTCCCTGGGTGGTTCAATCAGTTTGTAATCAACAGGTAATCTACAAATTGGAAGTTCAAGCCCACCCAGAAGCTCTGAGGAAGAAAAGTCTGGCAAACTGCTTTCACAAAGAGTGCTGTTGTTTGTTGCCGTCAAATAGATTCCAACTCATAGAGATCCCATGTGTGCGGAACAGAACTGCTCCATAGGGCTTTCAAGACTGTGAACTTTTGGGAGCAGAATGCAAGGCCTTACTTCTGAGGTGTCTCTATGTGAGTCTGAACCACCAACCTTTCGGTTAGTAGTCCAGTTCTTAACCGTTTGCACCACTCAGGGACTCCTCCTGTAAGATTACAGACAAGAAAACCCAATGGAGCAGTTCTGCTCTGTAGCATGTGAGGTCACCATGAGTCATAACTGATTCAACAGCAACAGTTTTTTTTATATATTAAAATGTGTCCACAATCAGACCCCTTCTAAGCATCTGAATCATTGCAACAATAGGCCTCATCTTCTGCTGTGTGGTTTATTGCCATAAGCTTTCCTTCCTATAGTCTCTCTAAGAAGCTCTGCTGGTCTGGTGGTTCAAGTATTAGGCTGTTAACCAAAAGGTCAGCAGCTTGAACCCACTAGCCGCTCTATGGGAGAAAGATGAGGCATAGTCTGCCTCTGTAAAGATTTACAGCCTTGGAAACCCTATGGGGCAGTTCTACTCTGTCCTTAGTGTCACTATGAGTCTATGGAAATGGGTTATGGACTCTGTTTCAGACTTTGCCACTCCAATCTATTTTCCATGTATAAATCCAATCATGTCATTACTCTGCTCCAAATACTTCAGTAACTTTTAACCTTATTTTAAAAAATGGTAAAACCCTTACAATGACCAAGAAGCCTTACATATTCTGTCTCTTCATTACCTCTCTGACTACATATCTTACTCCTCTTCCACTGCTCAGCCCACTCCACTCATATGGGTGTAATGGCTATTCATCAGGTTCCTGCCTCAGGGCATTTGCACTTGTCTTCCTCTCTGCATGGAATGCTCTTTTTCTAGATAGCTTATTGTTTCAGACAAATCAGTTTATTTTAGCTCATTTAAAAGGAGTTTCCAAAGGCTTTTTAATTTTAATTTTATTCTAATTATCAGTGTATATCAATCATGATATTAAAAAAAATTCCATTCCTAGAGTTCAAGAAATTGTCAAACGGCACTTAAAAAAAAAAAAAAGAAAAAGATTAACTCTTTTGAATGAATACACACACCCACACCCACACAAAAATAAAAAAAGCTAAAACCAAAACCAGAAAAAAGAAATAAAACAGTGAGTTTGACTTAGTATATCAAAGTCTCAACGTAATGTCTACATGAAAATTATCACTTAATGAAAACATCAATAGTTTATGTTATGTGCCATCGAGTCAGCCCTGACTCATAGTGACCCCTCCTTGGGTTTCCGAGGCAGTATCACTACGGAAGTAGG